CTTCTTTCTTGTTCTGTTGTCAGTTTTTTTTTTTGGCGCGGTGATCACGCGGGAAGTTTTGCGTCTTTTTGAAATTCTTTTTCGAATCTTGTCGAGCCCTTTATGGCTCTCGGAATTTCGGACTTTCTTTCGGGATTTGTGCTTTATTAAAGCTCTTTTTGCATTTTTGCGTTAGATAGGAATTTAGGAATTCGGAATTTCTTTTGCCGCACAGTGTTCTTGCCCCCGCACTTCTTTTTGCGGCTACAACGGAGCTCTGATTAGTCGGCGCCCTTAATCTTACGTGTAACTGTAATTTTGGGCAGGGCGCCTTTGTAACTGTATCTCTCTTCTTGAGCTTCGTCATTCCCGCCCTCTCTCTCTTCCTTGCTGTGTCTAGTTGGCCCGCGGGCTGCATGCTCGGATCGATGCGTGGAGAGTGGCTATGTCCCCCACGCCGCGATCGGGCCATGCAGAACGTAGGCACTCCCGCCCCTTCTCTTCTTCTAAGTCATTGCAACTCCGTGTTCTTCGCGCATGTATGCACACTATAAATGTCGACTGCGCGATTAGATAACTCTCTTAAACAGTTGTTGGAAGCTTGGGGTAGCGCGATCAGGGAGGGTCGGTTCACAAGCGAAGTAAGAGGTGAGTTGAAGTGGGAGTTGGGCGTCCTGACGAGCTGGTGCCGAATGTGTGGGATTGACGCTTGGGGCTACGACGGACTGCAGCGCGCGAGCGAATCCGACGGGCACAGGAGGACTAAGCGGGGTGACAACTTCGAGGGTTGGTGCGAGACGACAGAATGTCCGTATCGGAGAGAGAGAGAGAGAGAAAAGGAGAGCTGAGGTTGATGGACGCGGAGTTGTAATTTTCTTTGTAATTTTTTTTGTCTTTTCCTTTATTTCTATATATAAATTTTGATTTCGGCTCGAGCAATTCGCCCTTATTTTCTTTCGGCATCTTTGTTTCAACATTGACCCTTGCATTGTGTCTCATTCAGTCTCGGTTCTTCCTCCTTTTTGTGTGTAGGGGATGGGCGAGTTCTAACGGTATGATGTGCTTGTCGTTTTTGCTTAGTCATCGCCATTGCTTGTCACTTTGATCTGTTGCCATCACGATATGAGTTTGATGTTGTTGAGGTGTCTAATGTATGCGATGTCATTCTGCGTGATCGGAAATGATTGTTTGCGATATCACTGAATGATTAGATGATCGTAGGGTAATTATCCATGTCACGTGGCGATTTTGCATATAAGACTGAACTCTCACTTTTTTACGCGAAATAGATCCAGGTACGATCGAACACCTCGTATGCGCACGTGTAAGCGCGATGTGATTTACGCGGCTTACACGTGTCCACACGTGGCGGTACGCGATCACTGATGAACTTGGCACCTCCAGTATCGGGATAGGCGCAAAATTTCCTTCTTGCAAGCATCTGAGCCGATAGGAATTTTCGACACCCTACCCGAAAATTCCCTTGTCAATCAGATGCGTGCGGAAGGTTTCCACTACGCTGCAATGACAAGATGACATACATACGGGACCCAGAGTACTTGGAGCACTAGGAGGAATAATATCTTAGGCAGAGATATCCGGAATCTCCCTGCCTAACCGAGAACCGACTGTGCGCTAGCGACTTTCATCGTGTCGTAACCAGCGATCCGAGGTCTCCCGACTACCCGACTACAAGTCCTAAGCAAATATAGAGGTGCCATAAAAACATCGAAATTTCAAAGTAATAAAAATAAAAATAAAATAAATCAAAAAAATTGGAAAAATGTAGGGGGATAAGATAATTCAAACTTTAAGATAAAAATGAAAATTTGAATTAAAGAGAAAGACAAAAGAAGTTGGGGGTGAGATAGAATGACAAAGTGATGAAGAAAGAGAGAAAGAGGAGAGAAAGTGAAAAATATTGGAGTGGGAGGTGGGGGACTGATTGGGTTTTAGTTGGGGGAGTGAAGGGATAGAGGGGGGTGGGAGAATGAGAGAGTAAGCGATGAGAAAAGTGGGGAGTAGAAAAGCTTAGCTGAAGATGGTGAGTGGGGAGGGGAAGGGAGAAGAAAATGGTGGAAGATGAGTAAAGAGGGGGGGGGGTAGTTGTAGAGGTTGAAGAGGTGATGATATGGTGTAGGGGAGAGAGAGAGGGGGGGGGGGAGAGTAGGTTAGTGGAGAGATGATACCAGTCTCTCGGTTGACCAAGAGCAACAAGATCACAAAAATCCCCAGGATCTTGGCCTTCAAGGAGCTGGCAGCTTTCTGCCGCAGCAAAAAAATAAATAAATGAAATAATCAAAGTTTGGCTGAAATCCTGATCAGCCACCCTGAATTGCATTGATGTGCAACCCTCTAGCCAGGGGGGTCTTCAGTGCTGCCAAACTGCTGGTGCAGCAGTAGAAAAAATAATAACCATCATCATCATCATCATCTGGGTGTGCTGAGATTTTGATCATCCACCCATATTCCACAGTAGTGCAGCCCCCTAGCCAGGGGGGGCTTCAGGTCCTTCAGCCTATGTATCACCCGCGGTCGTGACCGCGGGCCATTTGACCGCACGTGGTCGGCATCCTGACCGCAGCGGGCGGTGCCCGCGGCCAAGTGCGGTCGAAAAACCCCGACATTTTTAAATCTTGGGATAATAGGCCAAAAAATTAAATAAAAATATGGGATTGTAGGTTTTTGTGCGCTCTACAACTGCATAGTTTTAGTTTTTGACTTTTTTTTCAATTAAAAAAAAATAAAAAAACAGAAATCCCTCAGGCAAAAGTTCTTCACTTGATTCTTTTAGTAAGAAAAATAAAGGATTTTGTTTGATTTTTATCTCAAATTTGGTAACGAGTTTTGATATGACCCCAAGGCAAACGTTGTTCAGTTTATTTTTGGGCATAACATATATGTTTTTCAGATTTTTCTGAATTCTTTGTTTTTTTTTCATGACTGCGGACCACGGTCGTGACCGCGACCTCGCGGCCGAGACCGTGGTCCGCGGTCGTGCCCGCGGCGACCGCGACCGCGGGGGATTCATAGCCTTCAGCTAGCTGCCACATGGCACTGCAGATGGCCACGTGTGCAGGCAGTAGCAGCCACGACGTGCGGAGGGGGGCAAATAGCATCCCACCCTAGCACCCGCCGTTGTCGTGCTGGCCGCTGCTCGCCGCTTGCCGACAGGGGGGGGTGGGGATTGTAAATAACTGGTGTGGCACTCCTGAACACCAGCGTGCCACACCATAAGACCATATGTAAGTTTGGCCAATAGGTTAAGGTGCTAGCTACACACGCTCATGGCTGGCAGCTGCCCAGGTTCAAAACCAGGCAGCAGCATGCATCTTGGATCTCGAGGTATATAATTTGGGAGTGGGGCGGGGCAGAGTGGTGGGGCAGCATGGGCGTGTGTGGCAGCGCTTGCACGCATGCGTTGTGATGGCGCTCTGCTTTTTCACCACGTGTCACCTCTCTCGCCACTGCACGTTTTCCCATCTGCCCGTCTGTGAGCTGCAAAAATGCGAAAAAAGGGCCAAAAAACGGGCTGAACCCGACACAGAATGAACACTCACGCACTCCAACATGTGCAGAATGAAGAATGACCTGAAAACGGACTGCAGCTGGGGTATACCTCCAGCGGACTGATTGGACTGGACTGGTACTGACAGTGGTAGTGGGCAGGACTGGACTGGACTGAAACAGCAGACGGCCTGTGGGGTCAGGCCACGACCTGGTCACACAGGACGAACAGGCAAATAGCCTGATAGGCCCTGGCTGTAGGTCAGGGCAGATAGAGGCCCGCTGCACAGATCCTCGTCAGAACACAGACAGATTGGTATCGCAATATAATTGTGATCCCCGTCTCTTCTCAGCCATCGATAGAGTTTTTCATTGCGACCACCCTTCGAAATTAGTGACAGATTATTACAGTAACTTCGGTAAAGGTGCTTACCCCATTTGGTATGCAGATCATGAGAAGTACCACCAACATAAATCTGACTACACCAAGGAGAAATCGCAACATAGACAAGTGGTCCACGCAGCGAATCAAAGTGAACACCATTATTAACCACTTGACACAGAAAGCTGCACAGCTTCTTCCCCCATGCAATCAAATTCAACGCGATGAAAATAATAAACACCACACAGATCAACGTAGTCAATTGTTTGCAGCGTAGCCAATCAGGGAAAATAGGTCTTAGTCTAAGGCACCAACCGAGTAAATTTCATAAAGCAGCGGGTATGACACTACGAAGTAGCCGAGTCACTATGAACCTCTGTACTGTTATCGCTATTCGGCGTCGCATAATCCGAGACATCATGAATAACCACCCCACCAGGTTTCGCCATATTCGCTCAGAGTCTGTATTCCCACAAAAAAAAACTCCCACAAAAAATGTGCCTTCGTTTAGGGGAGAGGGCACGGGTCCATTTCTTTTTCTCGATTTATGCGTGTCATCCATTCGCAGGGGCCATGCTAATCTTCTCTGTATCGTTCCAATTTTAACGGTCCACTTCTTTTTCAATCTTTTTCGTCCCCGTTTGCTTCCCAAAGGACACGACATCAACGTTTCCACAACGCCGCGTGACGCCACCTGGCTGGCGGAGCAGCTCCCTGCATCTGCGGAACCGGTGGACCCCACTGCTTTGCGGCAAAGCTTTGGAAGACGATTTGTGAGACCCCTCCGCTTTGGGGCAAAGCTTTCGAAAATGATGACAAATGACGCGACAAGCTTCCACCAGGAGTGGTGGTCCACCTGTCCTTGTTACTTACCGCAAGAATTGTGGGATCAGACCTTTCGAGCTGCTGTGCATAAAGGTGCCGGCAGCGGGGCTGGAATGCATAGCGGGTGATTCAGAGGTTGCTGGTGCAGAGTGTGTCACCAATTCGTAGCCGAGATAAGAAGAGTAGGTAGGGGTGACCGTCTCTCTTCGGCACGTTGCCGGTGAAGAGGAGCGAGAGCACGGCTACACTTGCACGCCAGCACTCACTCGAGACGGTGGCCTTCGTAGATGTGGAGGTGGTTGTACAGGTTGCTGTCGAATTTGAAAACGGAGACTTGAAGTTCCTCCCGCCTGCCAGTAAGGAAGAAGAAGCTAGACGTCGAAGCTGATCACAATGGTGCAACGAAGGTTCCCACCAGTCTCCTCCGTTGCCACCATGGCGGCCCTGCTGCTGCTTGCATTCCTAATGTCGGCTATCCATGTACAAGCTGCATCCCCGGAAGCGGGAACGGTCAAGATCTTGGGTTTCAAGTACGAAGGTGATGCCTGCCCGCCAGGGTCTGCGGAGGGGGCAGTATCGGATGACGGACAAGCAATCACTATGATGTTCAGCAAGTACACTGCGTCGACAGACGCTGGCGTGGACAGGCTGAGGAAGAGCTGCACGGTGACGGTCAATCTGAGTTATCCGCCAGGTTTCCGCTTCCACTTGGGGACGGTCACTATGCGCGGATACGCCAAGCTGGACGCGGGCGTGATTGCAACCGCTCAGACCAGTTACTATATCTCCGGGATACCAGGGACGGCTCGAGCCAAGCGCGTCATCACCGGTGCTTTCGATGATGACTTCGAGTTCACGGACAAGTTCAATGTGCTGCTGTACAGCGAGTGCAACGTCATCAGAGACCTCAACCTCATATCCGAAGTGCGGCTGGTTGCTGGACTCATCACCGGGCGCGATGACGATCTCAAGCTAACGCAGGAGCTCGCCATCGTCTGGGAGTCGTGTTAAGCTCCGGGCGGCGATCCAACATCGTCAGCTTTCCAGCTTGCCAGCGGCTAAGTTTGGCCGTAGGCCATATTCACACAAGGGACTTCCTTGGCTGAATGTGCATGCAGTGATGGAGTCCCAGTATGAGTAGGGCCATCGAGTGGATAGTAGTCGAAGGAATACCCGGAGGACTCAGAAGTATATCATAATCGGTAGAACGCGCCCACGCCAAAACCCGTTCAAAACCGGTTCATGAATCTGGATCAAAAACAGGGCCAAATTCTTGAACCGGTAAAAACAGGCCCAGGGACATGTGGCCACGGCGCGAAGGCGCCTTGCACCCAGGGGAAGGTTGTTTGGATCGGTAGTACCAAACGGCAGTGTTTCGGGCGCCCAAAACCGGAAAGGTTTTGGCGTGGGCTTTTTCTACCAATTATCCCCAGAGGTATCCCCTCGCAGGCCTGCCCGAGGGACTGCGGAGAAGGGACTGCGGAGAAGAGCATGAGGTTTTGGGGGACCAGGAGGGGGAAAGAAGAGGTGACACTGGCTCCGTTAGATGGCCAATGGAGTCTGTGTGAAATGACGAGGATCCGTAGTGACGATCTGTTTATATCAGGACATCTCTTCTTGTCAAAACTCTCCGATTGCATTTGTAGGTTTTTGTATTACTACATAATTGTAGCTGGGGGAGGTAATCAAGTAGTAGAATGTCCGCTGAGTCGACAGACCTTCCGTCGGTGATGCGGGAGTAACGACACACGTCCCAGACAGCTTACCCGAAGCATCTCTCTCTCTCTCTCTCTCTCTCTCTCTCTCTCTCTCTCTCTCTCTCTCACACACACACACACACACACACACACACACACACACACACNCACACACACACACACACACACACACACACACACAAACACACACACACTCCCTCTCCCTCCCTCCCCCCCCCTTTTCCTTGTGTTGGTGTTCTTGAAGACTTGATCTGATGCTGGAGACTGCCTTTATCTCCTTCTTCTTCGTGTAGCCGAAATATTGACATCCAGGAAAAGGAGGAGGGAGTTTTCAAGGACTAAGTGGTATCATATAGTGTTAGGATTTCGAATTTCGCGGACTGAGATTTTGCTCGCATGCTCTCAGGGCGCTGCTTCAATTTGTAACCTTTGTGCGTTACATGGTTACTCAATCCCTGAGTTTCTGTTTCGAACGGAATCTTATTCGTTGTCATGGGGAAAGACTTACCGACCTCTCGTTTTTCCGTTCTACCTTTTCTGTGCTCCCATTTTGTGGAGTGGACCATTTCTTGGTTTGCGCATGTCGTCCTGTTAATCCTCTTTGCTTGCCCCTTTGCATCGTCCCGGAGCTTCCTTTGCCAATTTGCTCACTTGCCGAAAATCCCTCTCCTCGTCCAGGCCAAACCCCCACCCTCCTGCTCCACTCCGCCGCCCCCGCAACCCCCTCCTCCGCCCGAAGAAGAGTTCAAGATTGCCTTTCGGGAGTCGTCTCTCCCTTCTCCTACGTAAGAGTTTGTCGCCATGCTTGTTGGCTCGTTCACATTGCTGTTTTTCTCTGATCTCGTTTCTGTCTGTTTCATTTGCCGGGCGCGTGTTTTGCAATATTTCCCCCATCTCGTTCGTCTCTTTTTTCCGTTTTGCTTGTCGCTGGAAAAGACCCATTCAACCATCCAGGGGCGGGGGGGGGGGTTCGACCCCAGGGATGGTAGGGGGGGTCTCGAGGGGCATCTTAGTATTTAAAAAAAAAAAATAAGAAAAAAGTTTGTAAGCGAAAAAAGAGACAAAAAAAGAAAAGCAAAATCGAATGAATCTACCCCTAGAACATGGTAATATACATTGTCACACTTTCTTTTTTTTTTTTCTTTTTTTTTGTGTGTGTGTTGGTGTGTGTGTTCGCGGGGTGGAGGCGACCCCGTACAGGGTGACGAAATTGACCATCCGTATAGATGAGATTTCACATACCTTGATTCTTCATTTCTCACCGTGGAGATCGCCACGCAAAATTTAATCAACCATTACAGATATGACGAATCAAGGCAACCACGACGGTCCCACTGCCGCTGTCTCCAAGCTGCCACAGTGCTAATTGATCCTGACCGTTGATCTCGCTGATTTCCAGGTCGTAGCCGGCAAGGGGCACAGCGGCTTCCGGAGCATACATGTAAGTTTTCATTTCAGAAGAGAGAAGAGAAGTCGGAGCTGTGGAGATGATAGATCACGCATCGGGCGATGGCTCGTGCGGAAAGTCTCTCTCGCAATCCAGGTGATTGATTTGACCGCTTTCCACCAATCATCCCCTTTGTGTACATGCTGACGATCATAGACGGCACGCTAAGCATAGCATGACGTCGCCCCGGCTGGGATTGCAACTCTTATGCCCTCCGGGAAAGCATGTCATAGAATTGTGCACACAGACGGCTGCGAACGCGAAATCCAACAAATCAGGAGCTCAAGAAACCGCAGCTAGATCCCACAGGTTTTTAATATGGACCAGTTCTCGAGCCCCGGACGTTCAGATCCGTCCGGTCTGGAAATCTCGTGGTCATACTTTGGTCGCTTAGACAAATGCTGGAGAACTAGGTGATCACCCTCCCAATGCATGAGACTTGGTTCCAGGGATGATTCTAGAGGTCCTTTGATCTGGTTCGTTTGTTGCATCTCAATCAGGAAATTTGTTCGTCATTATTGAAAAGAAAAAAGGAGAAGTAAAAGAGTGAGCGAAACCAGAAAAGAAAAAACGAGATTAAACTGCATCTTCTGTTGACGAGCTGGTTTAGGTCGATGATTTCCCCACAAATTTTCGCTCTACCCCCAAGCTATGTATCACCCACGGGAGAGGCCGCGGGGTCAAACTCGGCGTTCGGTCGGGATCACAGCCGCCGCCCGTCTGGCAGCTGTTGGCTGCGGCCGCGACATTCAGCATTTGTTTTCGGGTTCAAAACATTCTTAGTATAGATAGATAGATAGATATATAGATAGATAGATAGATAGATAGATAGATAGATAGATAGATAGATAGATAGATAGATATGATGTTGTAGGCCTTTTTTTTTTTTTTTTTTTTTTTTTTTTTTTTTTTTTTTTTTTTTTTTTTTTTTTTTTTTTTTTTTTTTTTTTTTTTTTGGGTAAGGGTGTAGGTCCTTTTGAAATCTACATTGCACAATATTTGTTTTGTGTTTTCTATGCAAGGAAAATAAGCAACAGCGAGATGACAATTTCAGATTACACCATCACATTGAAAGCCAGATAGTCACACCGTGTCCAGAGAGCAGCATTGCACCAATAATTCACCAATGGAGGTTCGTAGTACTAAAACCAATGTCTAGGAGAGCTTTCTCTCTCCACACCAACACAAGAGTCCAGTCCCTTCACACTCCTACTTGGCGCTCAGCGCCCAGCCTACTCCTACACAGCTACGATCAGCCTACTAATTGACAATGCAACTGTTGACATCAGCGGCAACCCGAAGTACAGGAAGATGTCGCCCAAATGCAGACCATCGCCAATACAAGGTATGTGCCGTCACATCATCATCATCATCCTTCGCCCTTCCCTGACTTTACACCCACGTCTTCTTCCCTTACACCCGAAGACCACCCATGCGCCTCACTGTAGCCCAAGCCCACCAGCTAGGGTGGCTGGGCTATGGCGCTGCCCTCAGCAGCGCCCTGCTTCCCTGCACGACCGCACGTGCTGCACCTCGCCTCTCAGCGCCAGCAGCAGCCCACGAGCATTTGCTCCAGCAGCGCTGCCACTAGCATGCGAGTGCCTGAATGAGGCTGAAAGTGGCGAGCTCATTCCTATATCGAAAAAGAGCCTGCCTGCTGCGCAGCCTGGCAGGATTGGGCCTGGGCCCAGAAGCTTCCGGTAGGCCCCAGGATGCTGCGTACCACTTCGCAGCTAGTGGGCCTCTGTTGGTTGGGCCTCCCAACTGTCAGTGTATGGGGCTGCGTTTCTCGTCCAGGGCCTGCATGCATTGGAAAGGCCCAGGAGGCCGTGGAAATGTATTGGTTGCTCGGCCTGTGTTTCTCTCAACCAACTGGCGCGTCGCAACTGCCTGTACCCCAAATATGAAATTGACAGTCGAAGGCCTCTTGTGAAATGTTAGGCCCGCCTTCACTTAGGGCGGGCACCACAGAAACCGGGGCCCCTTAGGCCTGCCGAGGACTCAGATCCTCGCATTCCCTCCTCCCTTACTTCGTTAGTCCTATGAGAAGTCTCTTATTATGCAAGCATCTTCCCTTTCCGTTCTCTTTCATAGCCTGCTATCACTTGAGGTGCTGTTCTCAGAAGTTCTTCTCGTGTGAACCAGCGATCTTCTTTAGAATCGAGATGATGTCTGAAACTCACACGATACTGCATTCTCGGCTTAGGAGGGCGCCCTCTGCCTGATGGTCGAGGAACAGGCATCATTCGATGCTCCACGATCTGGTCGATGTCCACCTCGCCATCCATGGTTGGGGGCAGCATTGATCTTCTTGAAGGAAACTGCTCTCTTGCAGCGAAAGGTGCCAACTTGGAAGCATGGGAAACAGGGTATGTACGTAAGTGAGGTGGGATGCGAATCATATAAGAAGGTCCATCCGGTTGATCTCCTACAATATCTAGGATCTCCCAGGGCCCAAAGTACTGTGGCATTAGTTTACGAGATATGACAGTAAGTAATCCACCATCGTAAATTCATCGAAAGTTTTTCTGTCCTTTGCTTGGAATCTACGGATGATCTCATACATAACTGGGTCTCGCTGATAGGCTTCCACCAACGATCAAGTGAGTTCATCAGATATGCCAAACTTAGTAACTAGCGCGCCCAGGTAATGTGCCCTTCGAGATAGTGCATCAGCCACTTTGTTATATATCCTTGATAGGATCAACTTGATAGTCATACATGTCTATCACTTGTATCAATCGCTTAAGTGCGTCAGAGAGTACAGGTTGTGTCTTCATCCAGCGCAAAGTTTCATGATCTGATCTCAAGTAGAAGAATCTACCTAGGAGATAGTGTCTCCAATGAACTAGCGCTCTGTACAGGGCATAGAGCTCTCTCTCATATGTGGA